ATCTAAGCATGTTATATCTGTGTAGTGGAAAAATCATTCCCTGGAAAGGAGAATCAGTCTCCTTAAGTGCTGACAGGCAGCAACACAGAAATTAAAATTCTGATTTCTAATTTCAAATCCAGATTTTTTTCTAAGTGTAAAATGAAAGAGTCATACAAAAGTTTAAAGGGAAGTGAAAGTTCAAAGCAGTGACTTGAAATGTTTTAGATCTGAAAAGGCTTGGATATGTTTTTGAAATGTCAAAATATCTTTCTGGCTTGCATGTATAATATGTCTTCTCAGCCTTTTTTCTTCTCATAGCGCTACCATTTTGATCAATGTTCTGATAAAATACAGTTCCCTCGAAGTTTCTCTGAATGTCCATGAAAGAGAGCATGGTTGAGTGTGTGTTCAATTTTATTCACGTAAGTTTAGGTTCACATAGATTTGGTTTGCCCACCTATTACTTCAATATGATTTTTCTCCAAGACGTGTCTTCCTAATGACATTTTTTACTAGTATCTCTTCTGCTTGCTCTTGTCTTTCTGGTCTCTGGTTCACATACTTCCACATTAACTCATAGGTCTAGATTAGCCTTCTTCCTTCTTTGCTGTGTACCTAACAATCTCATCCTTACCCATCTCTCATTCTCTGTTCTGACCTCATCCTCCTCACTCACACAGTTTCCAATCCAAACTGCATTTACACCTGACAGTCATCCTTCTTCTAATAATATTGCATCTCCAGCAGAGCTTTAGCACTTGTGCTGCTTTTTGATCTCCAAATCCTTGACCCCTTATACCTTTTACTCCTTTTTTTTCCCCCCTCCTTTCTTTTAATGTCTTTAGTCACCTGTCATAGCTTTACAGCTCCATGCACCATGTCAGCAACTGATCATTTTCATGGCCTTTACCTATATATGCACATTATAACTACACCAACATATACGTATAGATGTAGTACATATTTTCCTTCCTGTGGAAGGTATTGTATAATACGATCTTGTCAATATTCTTCCATCCTAAATTTATTACCAGCAAATAAGGGATCTTTAGCAGTCACTCTTGAAAGCCTATATTTAGAATGATAGAATGTATTGGGTTGGATGGGACCTCTAAAGGTCATCTAGTCCAACCCCCCTACAATAAGCATGGAAATATCTAACAAGGTCAGGTTGCTCAGAGCCCCATCAAGCCTGACCTTGAATGTCTCCAGGGATGGGGCTTCCACTACCTCTCTGGGCAACCTGTTCCAGTGATCCACCACCCTCATATTAAACTTGTTCCTAATGTCCAACCTAAACCTACCCTTTTCTAGCTTAAAGCCATTAACCCTTATCCAGTCGCTACAAACCCTCATGAACGGTTCTTCCCCTGCCTTCTTATAGGCCTCTTTCAGGTATTGGATGGGCTCTATAAGGTCTCCCTGGAGCCTTCTCTTCTCCAGGCTGAACAACCCCAACTCTCTCAGCCTGTCCTCACAGGGGAGGTGCTCCAGCCCCCTGATCATTTTTGTGGCCCTCTTCTTGACATGCTCCAACAGGTCCATGTCCTACTTGTTCTGGGGGCTTCAGAGCTGGATGCAGTACTCCAGGTGAGGTCTCACCAGAGCAGAGAGGCAGAATCACCTCGCTCGATCTGCTGGCCACGCTTCTTTTGATATAGCTCAGGATGTGATTTGCCTTTTGGGCTGCAGTTGCGCACTGGTGGCTCATGCCCAGCTTTTCATCCACTTGTACCCCCGAGTCTTTTTCCACATGGCTGCTCCCTAGCATGTCTTCCTCCAG